AAATAAATAAATAAATAAAAAGATCTAGAAGAACATGAAGGCAAGATATTAATCTATACATCAGTTACACTAAACAAATAGTTTCATTTTATGTTTAAATTTTCAATAGAAAAGTTTCCTAAAAATGTTAGGTAATGTATGACACTGACATACAGATATATAAAACGGATATTTTAACAGATTTTTATAAAGTAAAAATAAAAAATAAATAATTTATTTGCAACCGTTATGTTAATCATTATATTTCTGTCGTCAGAACAGCTATACAGCTGATGGACAAAGTGCTGTGTTGTCATAGGAACATCCAAGGTAAAAATAATTACATTACGTTGTCTGTTGTTGCTCCCTTCATCAAGTTCCAAACGGCTACATAAATGACACACTAGGTGTCATGCTCACGCCAAATTCCCACTTGAAGAGCTTTGCCGTCTGCCCTTTGAAGGGAGTAGGGCATAGGGAAGTTCACGAGCAATAAGCAAGTCCCAGTTGGGTCCGTCACTTATTTGGTTCCCCGGAAACATTTCCGTTGTGGACCGTGTTATTTGCAGCGCGTTTCTGTATTTGGTGGTGTTGTGAGTACTTGAAGCACACGTGTGTTGTGGAACTGCTGAAGATGTTTTTCTTAATTTGCGGATGTTTTTTTGTATTTGAATGCGTTTTTATAGTTGCACACGTTTTTTTGTATTTGCATGCGTCTTCATCAGGTTGCAGCGCGGTGAGCTCTCTCGGCCACCGTATATGTATATATATATATATATATATATATATATATATATATATATATAATATATATATTAATATATATATATAATATATATATATATATATATATATATATATATATATATATATAATATATATATATATATATATATATATATTATATATATATATATTAAACAATAGATAAACAAAAGATAGACAATTAAACAAAGATACACATTATACAGGCCAACATAGTGCTTTAATTTCAGGAAGGCCTACAAACATTATTCAGGTATGGAATTTTAGGAAGGTCTACTGGTATTGCCTAAAAAGAATTTTACTGGTATTGGCTAAAAACTGGTATTGCCTAAAAGAAGAATTAATAAAGTAATCAAAAGTAAAATAAGATTTATGCTTATTAAAGCTAAAGTTATTCATTCAAGAGCTGTGAGTGATTTTCTCTTTGCCTTTTGTTGTTTGATTCTCAGTAATGGCACAATCGTCAGCATGTTTATTAGACTGCTGCCCCTTTAAGAATGATTGCAGATCTAATAGCCTGATGCACCATATTTTCTCCCAACTATTTCCATAACTACGTCTATTTTAGACATAAACTGTTTAAGTGTTAATCTCCAAGCCGGTCGTTTTAACATTTTTGTGCAGGCTACATTTGATCGCATTTGATTGCGCTACGTTTAGACACGCATATGAAGGCCAAAGTAAAATTTGCTCGTCTCGTTGCGGTCTGTTTCGGAGCGCGCGCCACATTGGGAACAGCAAACATCATCTCTTATGCAGATTTTTGTGCTTTTAATAGCTCTTTTTATTATTAAAAGCTTCCCGCAATTTAGCAACAGCAGAGACTGCATTTTTCAACAATCACTGATCGTGCTGATTCTGTCTTAAAGTTTGAGTTTTAAGGAGAAATGACAGCGCACCGCAAGTTGTGCTTGACAGAATGCAGCTATAGTTTTTAATGGTTTTACCTCAATATATTCTACAATCTTTGGAAATCAGACTAATATCACAGATCTAAAGGCTACGTTTGAATGTTTAACGTTAGTTCTGTCCTCTGTCGTCACTCATTAAGCAGGGCTGGCGTGTTGTGCGCACTGTGGCACCGCGTGAGAGATCTTTCTCTTTCTCTTCTGGACAGCGAATAGCAAACATGCATCACAGACAAATTTTTTTTAACGGCTTTGCAAACATTGCATTTTGCTGTCTTGCTCTGCAGTGTGAAGTTTCCACCATAGGATTTCCTCACAGCGAACGTGTTTGCAGATCAATGCTATCCTGCTAGCTGGCTGCAAACTGCGGAATGAATTTCCTGAGCGGGGGTCTCTGTGTCTCATTGAGCACTATGATTGAGCCGCGCCTCCGTTCAGGGAATCACTTTTGGAGTCATTTCAGCAGACAACGTTAAAGCGCAGACATGGCTCATGAATATCGGATACCTCCGCAGGTTGGATCGGGAAAATCTGATACATGAATTACGCTGGTATCGGTCCCGACACTGGATCGGATCGGCCCCATCCCTAAGATTGATGGTATACAATAAAAACGTTTACAGTTTTAAGCAATTGAAACATTTTTGAAGGATTTTTTACACAGCGCCCCTGCTCTCGCCAGACAGCAAACAAGGATCGCTGAGGCACCCCGGTTGGGAAACACTACTACAAGTGTTGCAATAAAATACAATACAAATACAATAGCAATAGAAAAGTAAATTAAAAGAACACAAAAATTAGCCTCAATATTTGACTCGTCAGCAAAGATAAAAACATTAAAAAAATAAAGACACGTACACTGGTGGTCTTCATCTTCAGGTGATAGATGAGCCATGTGTAGTGGAACTGATTTTCCTCCGCATTGACAGATTTAGGGTGGATACAAACTTTCCCATCAGCCTTAGTGTACACCTGCCTGCAAAACCACACAATTTCAAGAATTTTTCAAAAACTGAAATGCCCCATATTACGTAAAGCAACAAACCATAGTTAATTGTGGTCATACATGCCTTTTAGGGCAAGTTTATCAAAATAATTGAAACAATAATAAACCACCCAGGAGGTGGAAAAAAAGAAAAATAATCTAATCACAGCAGTTTTTTTTTTCAACCGTTATATAGAAAACGAATTGTTGTTAATTCAAAGAAATGTTGTTAATTTAATTAAATAATCTGTACTTATTTAGGAAGACAGAAATTCTGATCACAGATGTACACTATCGTTCAAAGGTTCAGGGTCAGTACGATTTAAAAATAAAAATAAATCAACATTTATTAATCAAGGATGCATTAAATTAATAAAAAAAAAATGACAGAACTTTGATCAAAACTTTTATAATTTCAAATAAATGCTGTTAATTTACACTTACACCATTCATTAAAGAATCCTGAAATAAATCATGGTTTCTACAAAAGTGTTAAAGGATTAGTTCACTTTAAAATTAAAATTACCCCATAATTTCACCCCAAATTTACCCTCAAGCCATTCTAGGAGTATATGGCTTTCTTCCTTCAGACGAATACAATCAGAGTTATATTGAAACATATCCTGACAGGGAATTCATCCATCCATCATAAATGAACTCCAACTGCGCTTTACACTTAAGTGGAATCCTTAGGTTCATTTGGCCGGAAGCTACTTATTTTACTTTGTGTAAGAAAAATATTAAAGGGTTAGTTCACCCAAAAATAAAAATTCTGTCAGTATTTACTCACCCTCATGTTGTCCTACCCCGTAAGACCTTCGTTCATCTTCGGAACACAAATTAAGATATTTTTGATTAAATCTGAGAGCTGGATCACTCCTGCATACTAGTCCATAGGCTTCTTGAGGAATTGAAACTTTCTGGCCATGAAAAGTTGTTAAAGACATCGTTAAAATAGTCCAAGTGACTACAGTGGCTCAATCTTAACTTTATAAAGCGACGAGAATAGTTTTTGTGCGCAAAAACAAACAAAAATAACGACTTTATTTCAACTATTCACTTCCTTCTCTATGGCGTCTAGTCAGTTAACATAGTGTGATAGTGTAGAGCTACGTCACACGTAAGCTCATTATTGGCCGATGCTGGTCATGTGTGTGTGATGCGTGTGACGTACAATAAAAGAAGCTTACGCTATTAAACTAGTAACCCAATTCGAGGCAGAGAGACAAGTAAATGAATAGTTGAAATAAAGTCGTTATTTTTGTTGTTTTTTGTGCACAAAAAGTGTTCTCGTCATTTGATAAACATAGGATTGAGCCACTGTAGTCACTTGGACTATTTTAACAATGTCTTTTTTGAGGCCAGCAAGTTTCAATTCCTCAAGAAGCCTATGGACCAGTATGCAGGAGTGATCCAGCTCTCAGATTTAATCAAAAATACCTTAATTTGTGTCCAGAAGATGAATGAAGGTCTTAAGGGGTTGGAACAACATGAGGGTGAGTAAATACCAACAGAATTTTCATTTTTGGGTGAACTAACCCTTTAACATTTAAAATATTATAAACTGAACTATAAATCGTTTTGCTTCAAAAGGCCTTTATTAACCCCCTAGAACTGTGTGAAGTTCATTTTAGATGGATGGATGCACGTTTTTGAGCTTCAATCTGTCGGATGCAATTCACTGCCTTTATAAAACTTGGAAGAGCCAGGATATTTTTTAACCTAACTCCGTATGTATTCATCTGAAAGAAGAAAGTCATATACACCTAGGATGGCTTGAGGGTGAGTAAATCATGGGGTAATTTTCATTTGAAGTGAACTACTCCTAAGCACCACAACTGTTTTCAACATTGATAATAAGAAATGTTTGATGAGCACCAAATCAGCATATTAGAATGATTTCTAAAGGATCATGTGACACTGAAGAATGAGGTAATGATGCTGAAAATTCAGCTTGCCATAACAGGAATACATTACATTTATAATTATATTGTATAGAAAACGGTTTATCTTAAATTGCAATAATATTTCACAATATTGTTTTACTGTGTTTTTGAATATCTTTGAATGGTATAAGGTTTCACTACAATATAAATGTTAAGCAGACTTTAGTTTACACTGATGGTCAGCCTAGCAATGAGAGCAGTAACAAATTGAGCTAGGCTTAGTGTAAAGGTTTTAAATCACAGGCAGAATGGCGTATGAATAATAGAAGGATGCTAAATGGAAGCCGAAGTGACAGTGTGTAAGTATTTAATTGAGGTTCAGGCCTATCAATGAACCGAAGAAGGGAGACCACATAATCCAAAATAAACATTGGAAAAACAAAAAACAAGCAATAGAAAGAAATACATGCCACTTACGTCGGTCTCTTCTTACTATTGCTGTGGCGAATCTTGGCCACTTTTGGGTACAGTCCTGCTACTATCACCGCCTTAATCAGCTTCTCATTCTCTGAGTAACACAAATAATGAAGAACATTGGTATGTTAGATGTAAAAATGTGAATAGGAAGATAGACCGAGCAGAGAGAAAAACAGAGCTAGAAACTATTTTTTTTTACATCAAAATTGTATAATAGTATAAAATACTTATTTCTATTTTATACAAAGGGTACTTTGATATAAACACTCAATTTAAAGTGGCATATCTCCTTTAAAGGACAACTTGTCCTTTAAGACTTCAATGCAAAAACTGCTATAATTTGGTAACACTGTTGCATAATAAAGTATTACTTTTTTATTTGACTGTTATTTTATTTGACTATTACATCTGCTGAGATTAACTTATAATTATATAAGTTAAAAAATTATATTTAGATCTATTATGTATCGCTGAACATTGTAGCTGACCACAATCATGGCTGTTAAGCGTATGATTCCAATTATCTCACCACTGTGTCCGCATCTGTGTTAGTTGTGATTGAGCAATTTGGAGTGTGAATACAAGATTCAATGTAAATACGAGATTCATTGTGCAGTGTAGACAGCAGCTCTGATTATAAGGGGAGTTTTGGTGAGAGTACAGAACTCTCAGTGTCACTGAACAGCTCCAGCGATCTTAAATTGAGTGTTTCTTTGCTCTCTTTCTCTATAACCTTACCACAATTTAAATAACATAATTTCCATTTAGAGTAACAGTGTCAATTTGACTATTAAGTCAATGGCTTGATTTACAAAAAGTAATTAGGGCTGTGATGTATCGTGATTAATCGCATCCAAAATAAAAGTTTGTGTTTACAAAATACATGTGTGTGAACTGTATACAATTTTTTTGTATATATAAATACACACACATGCATGTATATATTTAAGAAATTTGCTTATATATACTGTGTGTGTTTGTGTGTGTGTGTGTGTGTGTGTGTGTGTGTGTGTGTGTGTGTGTGTGTGTGTGTGTGTGTGTATATATGAAGAGTTCAGATGCAAAAGCCTCTAAATGCCATTTGAAATTTTCTTCTTTAATGATGATTTTTATCAAACTTGTATATTTAAGTTCAGTAATTTCACTTAAATGACAATGATAATTACCTATGAATTGTTATGTAAGTGAAATTACTGAACTTAAATATACAAGTTTGATAAAAATCATCATTAAAGAAGAAAATTTCAAATGGCATTTAGAGGCTTTTGCATCTGAACTCTTCATATATAATTTGTACTTAATTACTTAAGTACTAGTACTAGTAATTAAATACTAGTTACTAATTACCTCTTCAACAGTGTAATTATATTACTGTTCTAATTACTCTCTTTAAAAAGTATTTAATTACTTTTAATTACTAATAACTTTCAAAATCCCATATCAATCTCAACCAGTTGAATAATACAAGGATAGACATCAATCTGTTTTAATTCTTTCAAATAAATACTATCAAATTGTATGAATTATCCTTAAACTGACTGAGGTGGAGAAGGTTACATTATAAAAAACATACTTTTTAACATCAGACAATACATTTTGATGTTAAACCCACTATTGTTTTATGTCTGATCTCATGACATTTCACACTTTTTTCATACATATTTTACAAGATGGCTAATTCATACAAATTTGTACGAGTTCGGTCGTACGATTTAGAGACCTCATAAAATGCATGTGAATCAATGTGAGCTCGGATTGATCTATACAAAGTATTTACCTCAATTAAATCAGAAGTAACTGTGATTAAATTACAGAAAAATGAAGAGTAAGCCCTTACTTAACATTTTCAATGGAAACGTAATTAAATTACAGTAACGAATTACTTAGTATAGTTACACCCAACACTGGCTACTGTACATACATGATGCGGCATTACTTTCAGGTCCATATCTTTCAGTAAGTCTGTTTGTAAATTGTGACTGGTTTATCAAAGAATCCACAGAAAAAAAATGATCAAACAGACAAATAATTCTCTATTGACATTCACATAATTTCAAAACAACAACAACCACTTTCCTATCATTAAGTCCCTTTGGAAGATAAAGTTATTACTGATCATGTTGTGTTATTTCTCCTGCCTGTCCATATTCACTAATGCATCAGTGGGTAGGTCAAAGAGGTCATGACATCATAATCATCATTGATCTGTGTGTGTGCAGGCCGTCTTTTGCCACTGTATTCATCTCTATCGAGTTTTGTGTTCTAAAACTTTCTGCATATTTTTATAGTACAATGATTTATTATGTCAAATAAAATATCAGGGAAAATTAGATTTTACAGATTCAATTAGATTAGACATTTACAGCATTAATTACTCTAAATCTATGTTATATTTTTTTGTAAACTCTTATAAATATTAACATTTGAAGTCAAATAATGTTCGACACTAGATCATAAAATACTCTTGGATCGTCTACAAAACCACACTGGTGTTCAGGGACAGGCATTAAGCTGGTTAAGATCGTACTGGGGAAAAATCGAAGATAACGTCAGCAGACTATTGAGTGCCACAAGGATCGGTGTTAGGCCCTCTGCAATTCTCAAAATATATGCTGCCACTTGGTAATATTATAAGAAAACAAGCTATAGTTAGTGCAAAATGCAGCTGCTAGAGTTCTTACAAGAGGTCAACAAAAATATGTAAAACACCAATTTTATCATCTCTACACTGGTTACCTATTGAGTTCTGTATCAATTACAAAGTATTACTACTGACCTATAAAGCCCTAAATGGTTTAGCTCCTGTGTATTTAATGGACCTTCTATCGCCCTACAATCCTAGTGTTCTTTAAAGGGTTAGTTCACCCAAAAATGAAAATTCTATCAGTATTCACTCACCCTCATGTTGTTCCAACCCCGTAAGACCTTCGTTCATCTTCGGAACACAAATTAAGATATTTAAGATATTAAGATCATTCCTGCATACTAGTCCATAGGCTTCTTGAGGAAATGACTTGCTGTCCTCGAAAAGTCATTAAAGACATCGTTAAAATAGTCCAAGTGACTACAGGGGCTCAATCTTAAGTTTATCAAACGACGAGAACACTTTTGTGCGGAAAAAAACAACAAAAATAACGACTTTAATTCAACTATTCGTTTATTTCTCCCTCTGAGCGAGTCAGGTTACTAGTTTAATAGCGTAAGCTTCTGTTATTGTACGTCACACGCATCACACACACATGACCAGCGTCGGCCAATAGTGAGACGTGTGACGTCCCTTTTCGCAATCACACTATGTTAACTGACTACAGGCCCATAGAGAAGGAAGTGAATAGTTAAAATAAAGTCGTTATTTTTGTTTGTTTTTGCGCACAAAAAGTATTCTTGTCGTTTGATAAAGTTAAAATTGAGCCACTGTAGTCACTTGGACTATTTTAACGATGTCTTTAATGACTTTTCGATGCCAGCAAGAGTCATTCCCTCAAGAAGCCTATGGACTAGTATGCAGGAGTGATCTTAATATCTTAAATATCTTAATTCGTGTTCCGAAGATGAACGAAGGTCTTACGGGGTTGGAACACCATGAAGGTTAGTAAATACTGACAGAATTTTCATTTTTGGGTGAACTAACCCTTTTAAGCTCACTAAATTTGAGGCTTCTGGCATTCCTAGGATATCTAAGTCCACTAAAGGAGGGAGGGCATTCAAACATTTAGCTTCTAAACTCGGGAAAAGCCTTCCTGATATTGTTCGAGGCTCAGATTCACTGTCCGAGTTTAAAACTAGATTAAAGATGCATCTCTTTAGCCAAGCATTCACATACAGTAAGTGGACAACCAGAATAAGACTTTTACCGCTGCCGTTCTGCCGGTAAAACTTGGGGTGTATTCGCTGCATTTTGCCGCTAAGAGGCACTAAAATCACAGACTTTGAATAGTGTCTATATTCTCTTTATTCTACCTAATGCGTAAACTGCAGCCGCGCCACGGCTCACTTGAAACCTGGTTGCAGATTAATTCAAGTGAAACGTAGTTTAATTAATTAATCACAATACTGAAATTAAATTGAATAAATAATGAAAACTTAAAACATTGCAGTAGAAACATATTAGGCTACATCAGTGAGGCTTTACAAGCGCATAAGACGATAATGCAACGCAATGGTTAATGGTTATTGATAATGGTTAACGCAACAACCTCAACCTCATGGAGCTTCAAACGACCCGAGATCGAACCTCATTATAGCATACATGCTGTTAACCGATTTTAATCGACAGCTTTTTACCGTTCTTAAAGCTTAAATAGATAACTGTTTATTAGCAAGTTTATTAACTGTTTATTTATTTAAAGTGTCCGTTTATTCTCTGTATTACGTAATCTGCCACTGCTCAATGAGAGCTGAGGTCGCAGATAAATCCAAGTTAAAGGTGCAATGTGTAAAAAAGTTGAGTATCTATTAACAGAAATGCAATATGACATCCATAACTATGTTTTCAGTGGTGTATAAATAACTTGCTTAATAAACCGTAATATTTTTATTACCTTAGAATGAGCAGGGAACTACACTAACCTTTTCCACTGGTGGCACTTGCGCTACTAACTTTTTCAGTTACTGGCGCAAAACATGATTTGGTCACGCAAATTATTTATAGTAAGCCGTTCTCTGGAATAGTAATGAATAATAATGAAACATACTGCATAGGGTTGGGTATCGAGAATCGAGTATCGATTGGAACCGAGACTAACTTTTCGTTTTTCCAAGAATCGTTCAAAAGTAAAAATTTCGATATTCACAGTCCGCCGAGCGGAAGAAGAAACCGCTGAACAACACCAACGAAGAAGCGTCTACCGGAAGTGTTAGCATAACCACGCGAGTCGAACATGAGTACCTTACGTCGGCGATCCAAAGTGTGGCTTCACTTTTCTAAAAATAACGAAATCTTGGCAAAATGCAAAATGTATTTTTACAGAAGGAGTATTTCCTTCAGAAAGACCGTTGGTAAGCAAGGTTAGCTAAACTTTTTTGACCCTGCCTCTTAAAAGAATCGGAATCAGAATCGTTCAAATTCAAACGATACCCAACCCTAATACTGCATTAGGGGTGGAACGGTACAGAAGTCACGGTTGGGTTCATACCTCGGTTCAGTACAATTTCGGTACAATGAAGTGAAAAGCAAAACAAAAATGCAGAAGGCATTTTATAAATCTCTTAAGCCTCGTATTTTTAAGTTGTTTAAGTTTTATTAATAAAGGCATAGAACCAGTTTATTTGTAGTGCACTGACAATAGTTTTATATAATTAGTTTATTAATTAAATTAATAAAAAGACAAAATGACCTTGATATATGTTTGGTAATTGTACTTGAATGAATGTAAAATTAATTTGCTATATTTCAGATCAATATATTTGTTTTCCTTAATTTTAATTAACACTTTATTCTCATCTGAATTATAAATAAATGATTTACATATAAAACAATTACCATTAAAACACATTTGATTTTCTTTTTTAATCAATGTAGAATTATGGATGCAGGACTGTTGGCAAACTGTGATGACAATAAAATGATAGCTTATACATATATCTCTGGTTGTTGTTTCTGTTCCACAACATTTTATATGTTATGTTTGGGGTGTGGGATGAAGAGAGGAATATTTTCAGTAATTATTTAATAAAACATTATTTTATTTATCTGAAGTGTGTAGTATTAGCCAATCAGGTGTCTTGACGCGAATCACGCGATTATGATTCAGCCTACACGGCACAAAAAAAAAACTAGTCTAAAAAACTGCTAGTGATCATATAACGTTAGTCAATGTCAATATCAGCGCTAGCAATATAATTAGTTAGCTCATGGCAGAGTTTATCAGCCGAACTCCAGAGCGCAAATCTACTATTGGTGTACCAAAACCATCGTAAGGTAGAGAGGTGTCTTACATCTCTGCGTCTTTTTCCTGCCGCCATGCAGGCCCAGATGGTAGCCTATATGATTGTGATTGGCATGCCTATTATAAAGACACAAACCTTTTACTATCATGTCCATTGATTTTGAATAATATGCGCGAGGAGGGAGAGAGAGAGAGAGAGAGAGCATGCAAGACAGCGCTTGTGTTGTGTGAAGACGTGATAGTGCGCGCGCGGCCAGGGCGCGCGCGCGCTCTCTCTCTCAGCTCGTTAGCGCCCGGTCAAACGCATCAGTCATTCTACTATACAACACTCGCCGATCAAAAAAGGCTTTGGCGGGACAAAAAGCGGACGATCCGAAAGTCGATCGCCAAGAGTTTTCAAAATCAGAGAAAAAGCCTATTATGTTCGAAAAGTGGTTGTAGACTTGGAAAAATGGTGGTACCCTTGGCTAAAACAAATAGAAATGTTATTAAATTAAATCTTTTTGCAAAGTGTTACCTAAATATTTTTCTGGGATCGATAGTGTCAACATTATGTTTGGATTCTGGTTAGAAAATTAGTAGCTCATCACTCCTCAAAAATCAGCACTCTCAGACAGCTGATTTTTGAGGATTTTTGAGAAGTATGTTTGTCGTTGTCAGCTCAAATCAGTAGGGCTGTCAACTTTAGTCATTTAGTCGACCAATCAGTCGATGCCGCCTTGGTCGACTGACATTCTTATTGGTCGACCAGTCTAATTTTTTTTTTTTTTTTTTTTTACCAATAGAAATACATTTTCAATGATTTACTACTCCTTGATATTTATTCCTTTTATAAGCAGTTATTTATTACTGTATTCTAAATATAATTATAATTATTAAATGCTTTACTTTAGGGCTATTTTTGTAACTGCGCCACAGTTTAGCGCACACACATACACTCGGGAACCGCACCTGTGGCTGGCTGCGCTGCTGCTTTACGCTCAGTAAGGGATATAGGTAGTTTTGCTGTATTCATTTAGGTAGAATGCTACTTGTTTTGGCTTTAGTCGAAATCTAAATCTTTTGTCTGGCTGCATTTTAAAACAAAGACGACAAGACTTTGGAGGTAGGCGACCGCGTTGCTCCATTATGTGCGCGCACATCGCGTGCCTACATTTGAAATCGAACTTGAGCGCGCAAAAGACGTAAGCAGCCTTTCTTAATATGTTTCATTTTTTATTTGTACTTTTGACGCATTTGAAAATAGCCTAAATGATGTAACAAAACGAAAATAAACCTATATGCCTTGCAGCCTTCCTACAACACAGCCTATTTCAGATTGTTTTTAGGCTTTTTTTTTAAACGCCTAGATTGGCTTTACAAAAGTTAACCCATATCTTTGTAAATAAAGAAGAATATAAAGCCTGCATAAACGAGAGCTTTTGTTCAGATTTTGCATCAGTTATATTTTTTTGTAGCGTGTGGTGTGATCAGGTGCGCGATTGTGACTGTCACCAAAAACCTAGGACAGAGCTCCTCACTTTTTACAGTTAAAAAAAAAAAAATCACTTAATTTTTGAAGAATTGTATTATTACTATAGTTTTATTTATTTTTGATGTTTTTTCGTTTTTGTTTTATAAATGTTGTGTTTTTTAGTTGACTAATCGTCACGCAGGACAAGACTTTGGTCGACTAAGGATTTCTTTGGTTGACTATAGCCCTACAAATCAGTACAAGTGTAAATGGCAGTCGAAGAGTCTAAGCAAAGTACCTGAGTTGATGTTAGAGCTGCGATCTTTAGGGTCCTTACTATTCACAAAGCCAGCTGCCAAAAGATGCTCCGCAAACTGACCCTTCATATTCTGAAGCATCTGGTGGGAAGCAAAATGGGTTTCCATTCATCAAGTGCACATCAAAACGTCAATTTTGTCTATTATGTTTAACTAATGTTTGATAGGTATAGTGCACACTGACCTGTAACGTGTTTGCAGACAGGAAGTTTTCCCAGCAGTATTCCCTCTCAAACCTGCCACCCTGTCTCTTAGCATCCTCCCAGCCCTAAAATAACACCATACAAAAACACCACTAATGCTCATTTGCGAAACATAATTCAGTAAAATTGTTATCAAGTTGGCACAAATGATGTCCAACTGCATCAGTCAGGCATCACTAAAAATAACATTAAAGAGGTCTATAAGCCTGCAAGTACAATGTCAGACACTGGCACCCTCCCCGCTTAGAGTAGGGTGCTGAAAAGAGTGCGCTGTCATTGCACAGTACCAGAGCGCTGAGAAGAGTGTGCTGTCATTGCTCTGTGCGCTGTCATAGCAGAGAAAGAAAAGAAGTATGTTTGTCGTTGAGGCTGTGACAACTAACATTAGTACCTCAAGCGGTTAAAACAATGTGACAAAAACACGCACAAACCTGACCCCAATGTTTAATGTTGTAATTGTTACCATCCATTTGCATTAGATTATATCCAGCTGGTCACTTTTATGCATTCATTAAACAGCAAAGTTGCATTTTTAAAGCTAGTGACATGATTGCTTTCGCAACATTGATATGTTCATCTAGCCGACAGAAACAACCAATTCAGAAACAGAAAATTTTATTCTTTTTTATCACTGCAGTGCAATACATATTGTTATTTTGATTAGATAATCATCAAGTGTTCTAATATAGAAGCAACTAAAGTGAGAGACTATACATGTAATATAGGCCTACATTTATGCAATTTTAATGCTCTAGCCTTTGCAGATATTTAAGGATGGCCATCTTTAAGCATAGCAGATTCTGGATTTATATGAAATGGTAACACTTTCCAATAAGATTACATTTTTAGCATTAACTAAGGTCAATAAATGTTGTAGTATTGTTCATTGCTTGTTTACTATTTACTATAACATTTACTAATACATTTTAAATTGAGTGTTAATTTTTATTTTTATCTGTAAACCTTAGTTAATGTACTATGAACTAACATGAATTGTCTTGCTCACATATTAATACATGCTGTAAAAAAAATTATATTGCATAATGCATATACTAGTTCATGAAGGCTAACTAATACTGTACATCATTGTTAACAAATGGGACTTGCAAAGTGTTACCTATGAAATGTACACTATTTACATGCATGTTATTAGGTCATAAGTAGAGAAACTTGTAATATTTTAATTAAATTATTCTCTTTAGAATTCGTTCTGTAGAACTCCTCATTTTAATATATTCATATTTATATTTATTTCATATAGCACATTTCAGTTCAGCGCTGTTTTACTTGGAGTGTTATGGTTTTTTTTTTTATATATCCAAAATCATATCATATAAAAAAATATCGGTTGAATAATCGGTTATCACGTATGGACAAACCTAAATATCGGTAACGGTAAAATCCACTAATCAGCCAACCTCTAATTGTGACTGGTTTGTAAAAGAATCCACAGAGAAATGTACCAAACACAAATAATACACCGTCATATTCACAAAAAAACCAAAAAAAAACCACTTTCCTATCATTAAGTCCCTTTGGAAGATATAGTTATTTACTGATCATGTTGTGTTATTTCTCCTCCCTGTGGGAACGCACCAGTGGGTAGGTCAAAGAGGTAATGATGACATCATAATCATCATTGATCTGTGTCTGTGCAGGCCGTCTTTTGCCACTTTTTTGTGAGTTTTGTGTTCTAAAACTTTCTGCGTGTTTGTATCGTACAATGATAGCCCTTAACGTGCAGCAAAGACCTTGACAAAACAATCCCTAAGGACAGATTCTCAGTGACTAGATAAGCCCTCAGCACAGATCCCTATGGCTAGCTGTGAATGTCTCATGCCAGGACCAGCTGGAAGCTAAGAATTAAGAGTGACTTTTTAATGACAATAAACTTCTAGGACTTACCCAAAATGCATTGACAATAGTGAGATGATCACTTCTAGAGTTTTGAGAGAGCACTTTTCTCCTGTGGTCCGCGATCTTCTCCTTTCCCTGAGATAAACGCATCCATCAGTGAAACAATCCCTCATTAGAGAATGCCCTCTGGGGCTGCACATGTGTTTATGTGAAACCGTGTGTTTGTATGTACCAGTGGTATGAAGAAGGGATCTTTAAAGCTAAGGCTGGCCGCAATGGTAAGCACAGGATCCAAACAGCCAAGAAGAGCTCCAAACAGAATCATTTTTCCTATATGAGGCTCTACAGGCATACGGGCAAGATGAAATCCTAATGGAGTCAGCTCTTCACTCCTGTCCAGGGCGTTCTACAAAATACAGCAGAGCAATGGTTGTCTTTTCAAAAAGAATACATTAAAGGACAAGTTCGGTACTTTACAATTAAAGCCCTGTTTTAAGATCGTTTCCGATTAAATAGAATGGTTAGGATTGTTTTTTAGACAGATGCTGCTGTCACAAGAATTTTCGGATTCTGTGTTCGCACCCCGTCCCCCCCACCCCACCCCACCCCACCCACCTTTATAATGGTAGCATAGGTGCACTGAGACAATCATTCATAAAAACGCATAAAACTTTAGTTTACAAAGACCGAGTGGTCTAGGGTGTTCACTGATATGCTCACACAAAAATCGCCTCAAAAGACGCTTTCCAACAGGTGTTTTCCCATTCGTTATAAAACTGTAGACCTATTTTTCCGAACGCCTCACAGCCGGACATTCTTCCGTTGAGAGCTTGAATAATAGACAATCCAGCCCAGTTGGTGGCGATAATGCACCTTTGCCAAATGCAAGCAAACCACTTACACGCGACCTATGCACGCGACCACACGACTGCATAAGACTACAGAAAGAATACAAACAAGGGCCATTTCCGTTTCCAGGCGGCGGAGTAATAACGGACATCACAGAACACACAATACAAGTCAATGGAGATGGACAAAAACTACGATAAAACCTGTTGGACGGCATCTTTTGCAGCGATTTTTGTGTGAGCATATCAGTGAACACCCCAGACCACTCGGTGAGTTTCACGTCTTTGTAAACTAAAGTTTTATGCGTTTTTATGAATGATTGTCTCAGTGCACCTATGCTACCATTATAAAGGTGGGGGGGTGCTAACCAAAAAATCTCGTGACAGCAGCATCAGTCTAAAAAACAATCCCAACCATTCTATTTAATCAGAAACGATCTTAAAACAGTGCTTTAATTGTAAAATACCGAACTTGTCCTTTAAAGTATTGTGCTATTGCTAAGCTCTTTGATTTGAGTCATTACACTTCTTAATTACACAGCTTTCTGGAACAATTCTCATATACTCATTGGTCAATCACAGCATTTCACTGCCAATTCATTTTGTATAATAATAGTATAATAGGCTATTCTTTACCTGAATGAATTCATTTCTTCTGCTATTCTGCTGAACCCAAAGGAAGATATTTTGAAGAATGTTTTGAAGACTGTTTGTTAACCAAACAGTTAATGGACCCCATTGACTTCAATAGTATTTTTTTCCTACTGACAAACTGTCTGATTACCAACATTCTTCAAAATATCTTCCTTTGTGTTCAGCAGAAGAAAGAAATTCATACAGGTTTGAAATAAAGATGTGACGGTGATAATATTCTCCCACCGGTTAATCGACTTGTGTGACAACACCGGTAATACCGTTTTCATCGCCGTGGGGATTGACAATGTAATTTTTCTTTTACATCGCTTATAAAAAGCTGGTGTGGCAGTGTGCACTTCACATTCACTTTTAAATTAGCGTCAATGTATCCTTCACAGGGAGTTTGAATGACATGCGATCTGACCGCACCAGTCACGTAACTGAAAACTATGAAAGCCGCGTGACCATCCAAACCGTAAAAAAAAAAAAGAAAAAAATTAAGGAAATGATTCCCTATGATTTTCTGTTTCATTAATAAAGTTTGACTACTCGCAGCAGTCTCGGATGCGCTTAGCTCGTGTGAATTGCACGTATAAATTAAGTTAACGAACGAACCTCGATCCATGGGGAAACGCCATAGGTCACTGAATTTCACTGTGCTTCATGAAGAGTTTTTCTTTTGCGTGAAGAAGCCGTTTGCCGGAAATGTGTTAAAGGGTTAGTTCACCCAAAAATGAAAATTCTATCAGTATTCACTCACCCTCATGTTGTTCCAACCCCGTAAGACCTTCGTTCGTAGGCCAGAAACGAGATTTCCTTAGATTTCCACGACGCATGCGCGAGAATTGCGATCTGCTTACACCAGCTTACACTACTTCAGATCGCAATTCTCGCGCATGCGTCGTGGAAATCTATAAGGAAATCTCGTTTCTGGCCTACAAGGAAGAAAAGAAATAGTCGAATAAACTCGTTATTTTTGTTTGTTTTTTCGCACAAAAAGTATTCGCGTCGCTTGATAAACATATAGTTGAGCCACGGTAGTCACTTGGGATATTTAAACATTTTCTTCATTGACTTTTTGGGCCGTCAAGAGGCAGTCCCTTAGGAGCCAATGTGGTAGTTATACAGCTCTCAAATTTAATCAAAAATATCTTCATTTGTGTTCCGAAGACGAACGAAGGTCTTACGGGGTTGGTACAGCATGGGGGTGAGTAATTAATGACTTAATTTTCATTTTTGGGTGAACTAACCCTTTAATATTATCAAACGACGAGAACACTTTTGTGCGCAAAAAAACAACAAAAATAACGACTTTATTTCAATTATTCGTTTATTTCTCCCTCTGCGCGAGTCAGGTTACTAGTTTAATAGCGTAAGCTTCTGTTATTGTACGTCAGTAGTGAGCCTACGTGTGACGTAGCTTTACGCAATCACACTACGTTAACTGACTACAGGCCCATGAAGAAGGTCTAATGGTGAATAGTTGAAATAAAGTCGTTATTTTTGTTTGTTTTTGCGCACAAAAAGTATTCTCGTCGTTTGATAAAGTTAAAGGTGCAATGTGTAACAAAGTTGAGTATCTATTAACAGAAATGCAATATGACATCCATAACTATGTTTTCAGTGGTGTATAAAGAACTTACTTAATTAGCCGCAATGTTTTTATTACCTTAGAATGAGACATTAATAGCTCCATAACCGAGGGAATCCCCTTCTATGAAGGTCGCCATGTTGTGACGTCATATTCCTACCGTAGCCGAACGCGAACACACAGTGCTACAGAACGCGTTTCATCACTACCTTGAAAGAGAAGTAGCGGAAAGCTGGAAGCTAGCCTTACACTCCGTGAGTAGTGACTTTTCCCTTGTGAGTGGTGAAAAATATGTAGTTGGGATTGTTTCATGTAACTTAGTTCTCCCTCGCTGTGTTATGGGTTTGTTATGTTGGGGATAGTGCTGTTACGTTCGTGAGACAGCTGATGATTAGTATTCATGTCATTGACCGTAAAACAGGAATCACTAACCCGTCGATAGAGACTTTTACTAAAGTCTTTTATCACTAAAGTCGATCGCGAAGAATTTTAAAAATCAGAGAAAAAAAGCCTATTGTGTGTAGTAAATAGTATCTATGGGATGCGGAGATGACATGATTGTAACAGCGCGTGCACTTCCGACCTTTGGACTCATGCAGACGCGTCCCAGCTCAGCCACAGTAACAGCTCATATTAGCCAGCTAAACTATTACTACCCTGTTAGAAAAAATATATAGCTGCTCCCTCGCTGTATTATGGGTTTGCTACAGTATGTGGGGAGAAATGTGCTGCTGGTTACGTTTGTGAGACAAACAGCTGATTATTATTTTATTAAATTATATATTAAAACCCTTGATCCTCACCTGACTATGGCTTTGTAAACAGACAGTATTCATGATGTGGTTTATAATGGACTGTGGTACAGAAACAGTGACAATGTTACACACTCTTGGCTTACTCTGGCTATTCTCTGCTGTCTCAGCCGACGAGATGTTTGTCCCGTTTTAGCAACCGTAGCTTCTTCGAAAGGGAGGGGTGAGCAGTGGGCTGAGCCCTTAGTGCAAACCTGGTGCAAACTCGCAACCGAACCACTAGATGTCGCTAAAAGTCACACATTGCTCCTTTAAAATTGAGCCACTGTGGTCACTTGGACTATTTTAACGATGTCTTTAATGACTTTGAGGACAGCAAGAGTCATTCCCTCAAGAAGCCTATGGACTGTATGCAGGAGTGATCTTAATATCTTAAATATCTTAATTTGTGTTCCGAAGATGAACGAAGGTCTTACGGGGTTGGAACAACATGAGGGTGAGTAAATACTGACAGAATTTTCATTTTTGGGTGAACTAACCCTTTAAAAGATATCGGAGTGCATTCATGATTATTTGGTTACCGGTATAATAATCCCTGTGTTGGGGAGTAGTTAAAGGGTTAGTTCACCCAAAAATGAAAATTAAGTCATTAATTACTCACCCCCATGCTGTACCAACCCCGTAAGACCTTCGTTCACAAATAAAGATATTTTTGATTGAATCTGAGAGCTGGATCAGTCCTACATAGAATGCCTAAGGGACTGGCTCTTGACGGCCCATAAAGTCATTAAAGAAAATGTTTAAATATTCCATGTGCCTACAGCGGCTCAATTATAAGTTTATCAAGCGACGAGACTACTTTTTGTGCGAAAAAAACATAAATAACGACTTAATTCGACTATTCTATTACTTCCTTATGGGCGCATGCGCGAGAACTGAGACGAGGACGTTCTTCTCCTTCGACTACTTTTTGTTACCGGCTGCTCCGCTTAGGAGTATTACCGCCACCTACCGTATAAAATGATGTGCTGATATAGCTGGAAGCGCAAAACTTTCTGTTTACAAGCAGAGGAAGATGCGCGCTGTACATACGCTTTTCAATTAGCGTATTTTCCGCACTACAAGGTGAACTTAAAAGCCTTTAATCTTCTCAAAAAACGACAGTGTTCCTTATAATCCAGAGCGCCTTATATATGGATCATCATTTTATACGGTAGGTGGCGGTAATACTCCTAAGCGGAGCAGCCGGTAACAAAAAGTAGTCGAAGGAGAAGAACGTCCTCGTCTCAGTTCTCGCGCATGCGCCCATAAAGAAGTAATAGAATAGTCGAATTAAGTCGTTATTTATGTTTTTTCGCACAAAAAATAGTCTCGTCGCTTGATAAACTTATAATTGAGCCGCTGTAGGCACATGGAATATTTAAACCTTTTCTTTAATGACTTTATGGGCCGTCAAGAGCCAGTCCCTTAGGCAGTCTATGTAGGACTGATCCAGCTCTCAGATTCAATCAAAAATATCTTTATTTGTGTTCCGAAGATGAACGAAGGTCTTACGGGGTTGGAACAGCATGGGGGTGAGTAATTAATGACTTAATTTTCATTTTTGGGTGAACTAACCCTTTAACTACAGGTAGCGATGCTACTAACTTAACTACATTTTTCAGTAGCTTGGCAGTAGCTAAGTTGCTTTTTAAACAGTGTAGCTTTTCCAGTAGCTAACTACTTTTTGCATCAAGTAGCAGTGTACCGCGAGGATGGAGAAACAACTAAAATTAATTACCCATGGCCTTATTTGTCCAAGTTCAATCGGTATTTTTGAGAAAATGTTCTACATGCAATTTACGGTGGATGTATATTTTGTTCTTGCAATTTTGTAGGCTATTTGTTGCAATTTTGCACTTTTGACAAACAGTCTGAGATATTTGAGTGCTGTGTGTAATAAAACAATACTCTTTGAAATCATAATTGTATTGCACTTATGACACTTATTTAGTTATTTATAATATATGTTCTTCAAAAAGTAGTTTCAATGTAGCTAGCTACTTTTTGATAGTAACTTGTAGTGTAGCTAACTACTTTTCCAAAAGGGTAGCTTGACTGTAGTTTAACTACTTTAACTTATGAGTAGCTTGTAGCTTGTCAAACTACAGTTTCAGAGAAGCTTCCCCAACACTGAATAATCCTCTGGCGCCGGGTCTGAGTGAGTCATTTACTCTCTTACTTTTGTTCTTTGATTAACATTAATGCAAGTGGTGCAAGCGATGAAACTGGTGTTGTGACTAAACACTGTGTAATACCCGCAACACCGACTATCGTAGCAAGCCAAGTTTAAAACAACTTGATGAAGGATGAAATAATGAATAATTGTAAGTGAACTAGGCTATTCCTTTAATTTATCTAGTAAGTAGCCAAGTAGATGCTGTCTGTTGGGTTCCTGATTACCCAGTTTATTTTGTGATAGCAACACAGTAATTTATCCCTTACTTATTTCCTAATCCAAAACTCATTTTCTTTTCTATCATCTTTTTATCCTCTTACCAGGTCCACCAGGTGTGTGATGGCCAGCTCTATAGCTTTGTCTGATGGGGGATCCAAAGTTTTCCGCAGGAAACACGCAATGGGGCCCAACTTCAGAATCTGAGAGAAAAGAGAGAGAGAGAGAGAGAGAGAGAGAGAGAGATTACAAAATCTACAAATTACTCAATCTAAGCACAAAAAAATATAAGATGAAGGCTTTGTGTGTGTAAATGAGTGTGAATGTTAATCAGGGCCCAGCTGTACCACTGAGCAGCAGACAGAACTGGTACAAGGCAGCTATATGGAGATGAAAATGAGCAGTAAATGACACAGCTAAAAGGCCTAGTTACATGATTACACTGCCTCTCAGATACAATGACATTGATTAATGTCCCTTTTAATCCATTAGTTTGTTTGTGTGCTCACTTATTATAGTCACTGGAGACTATTTATGAAACCTCTGCCTTCAGGCCCCATTAGAGCCAAACAGATACAAGGGAAAGAGCTTGTATCTGTGTGTGTGTGTGTGATGAAGATAGCGTGTGTGTTGGGGAGCAAGAATGAGTCACTGGTGCAAATGAGTCCAATTTCCTAAAACCACAGCGGTGAGAAGCGCTCTCTCTCTCTCCCTCTCTGAGGATTGCCAACCAGCAAGTTTCTAAGCATTTTAAGTGCATACACACCTACTGCTGACACCAAAGCTGTGTAGTGTGGCTCACATATAGCTAGATCGACGGATATTTTATTGATCGCTAAGGGGAAATTCAACCATGCATTTTAGTGAAATATAGTATGCAAAGAAACACACAGATGGAGCCTTTGACTGGATACCTTTATTTGCAAGCAAAGCTCTTCAAGTGGAGTGCGTTGGATCTCAGGTAACTGGTAGTTATCCAGGAGGCTGGCCCTCAGTCCATTATAGAGGTGATAACATTTCCCTGGAGACACTCTGCCCAGACACAAACACACACGAAACAAAAGGGACACATGAAATACAAGGTCACACTGCATCAATTAGGAACGTTTCTTTGATGAATGCAAATTTCTACTGACTAAAATTCATTGAGAGTTCAATCATGCGTAAAGGTAGTGCACAGAAACATTTAAGCCTATTTTTTAAATTCATTTAGAACTAAGATACATTATATTTAAAAATGATATTGCATTAGTTTTAAATGAAAAACCTGTATTTTGTTATACTCATTTAACATTTTATTAGATTTGAATACTGAACTGAATTCTGTAATTCTCAGGGAGGGAGAGAAAGAGATTTTCTTTTTTTTTTTTTTTCCATTTTCTGCATTTTGGCTAAGCTGCAATGTGGCTCAGACTTTACGCCGATAGTCAACAGTTTGTCTATGCAAGACTAGTCAACGCTTGCTGATGTGAAAGTCAATTTGCTTTCCCATGAATAATGCAGAGCTATGGAGTTACTGTGGCAACGGGGTAGTGCGTGTGAATGTGTGGATGTGCACAGGTACAATAAGAAGGGGTATTTGGGCATTTGTGAACAAGTATGAAATTGAAATGGTGTGTCAGAGCCTGTGCTGAGCAGTGTGGCAGATTCATGTAGATGCAAAGCTAGTTACTGACTTATTATCTCTCTTTCATACTTATAAACACACTCTCACTCACTGTTTAAAAAGCACGAGTCACTGTGCTAATTTAAACCCCAACATGTAGACACCACACAAAACTGCACACACAAAGGTGCCCTATAATGGTTTTTAAAATTATTTTATAATATTTCCTGGGTTGCCCTTATAATGTTAGTATATTTTTTTAGATCAAAAATAGTCATAATTTAGAAATAAAAGGCACTTTTCCTAGCCTGATTTTAGCCTCTGCTTTGAACACTCTGTTTGAAGGGGCGTGTCTGCTGTGTGTAACCGGCCTCTGCTGTGATTGGCTGACATGCATGCATATGAAATCGCTATGTATTACATGTGAAACTCTCTCGAATAATTTTACTACAGCTATTATACGTTTTTACTATTACAGCCATCGAGATTAACGAATCGTGAGATGTTTTTGATCTATTCCTATCACATAAAGTGTTGCTGTGATGAACAAGCAGAGGACAGCCTGTCGATCGCGAGGATGAAGATATTATCATTTTAATGCAGTCTCTCTACTCTAATGCAGCAGACAAGATGATGTAAATACAGTTAGAGCTTCGTTGTGCAGTGTAACGTGCCTCATTGAATTCATAACGAGTTTGGCAAGTGTCCAAAAAAACTCAAGCTGTGTGGATTGTGGAAAGATTGTTCTTTGATCGCTTTCTGTATATAATTTATTCACAATTTAAATACGATTTTTTTGTCCAAAAAAAAACAAAAACATTTTTTACTAAAAGAAACGATGTGAAGTTGATATTTAATCACTGGCTCGACTTACTGATGCATAAACAGTATTAAACGATTTTGAGAGAAAGATTACCTGTCTGAACTTGAACAACAATTACACATCAGCTCGGTCCGAGGCCAGGTTGAGGAAACAGTCGTCGGTGAAATGTTTGTAAATTTCCAGAGAAAATAAAATTAATCCATTGTTTCTTCAGAGGCTCGGACGAAGGAACTAAAATATACTTTTGTGTTCATGTGTAGATCCGAACACTGATCAACTGCCATGCTTCGGCTGCGCAGCTCCGTCTCGTCTGTCACTAGCTGCGTTTCCATTTCGATTTCCATTTCAATTTTCATCCCTTCAATTTGCGCAAATTGAAATTGCGAAATGAAAATACACTGCATGGAAACGTCAATTTCGCAAAAACTCCCGTTTATCGCAAAAAAGTTTTTACGCTCGCATGATGAGGTTTTTCAGGCAATTCGAAAAAGGATTTTTTCACAAAACTGCAATGGAAACGGGTTTTGTGCATTTACAGTCACCTGACTTAGAAGACGGAGTGTGTTTTAGGTACGTGTCCGCAAATAATAATAATAATTATCATCATTAGCCTATTATAACATTTATTAGGCTAGATATGTAGAAGACGCTTTTATCCAAAAAAGCAACAAAGCAATTCGTCACATCTCATTCATAGTACAGGTTGGACAATAATAGGGCTAAGATTATCACAAATAAACACTCGATTTTGACCAATATTCAAGAGTGTGTGCAGAGTTTTGAGCACGCACTGGATGCCTTTCATTTTCCCATCAAAAGTGGAATCAACTTAAAATACTCCATCATTTCTGGTTATACAGAAAATAATAATACATTATTCGCAACTACTTTTATTTGCGTAATGTCACAATAACAAGAAAACGTTGTGCTTTTGTAAAATAATATAAAACAATCAGGCGCACTTTATGATCTTCGTGAACTGGAGCGCGAGAACTGAAACAATATCCTTTATAGACTAAAGCTAAAGATTTTCTGATTAACTAATCCGTATGGTGCAGTTCTCTCTAAAGCTGCATCCAGGGATGTTTTTAACTTATATTTTTTCAGACGCATTTATAATAACTCACCTATCATTGCGGGAAAAATATCATAAATATCCATGTTCTAATTTGGCCTTAGAAAACCAGTAAAATCTAAATTTTTTCCCATATTAATTTGTGAATATTTTAAATGTTCTAAAGGGGGCAAAAAGTCATAAACAAATATCTGAAAATTCGTTGAGATGTATATAGCGCAGCTATTGGTGTGGTCAAATTAAAATGTTGGTGTTCAACTTTGCATTTTAAAAATACAACAACCGTTCGTTTTTCGTTTTGCAACGACCGTTTGGACATAATACGAGATAGAGTTCTTTATTAAATTCATTTAAAAAAAGAAACAATAATTACAGGAATAGCCTCTCTAAACCTCAAAGAAATGCCATCAAGACATCGAAGCAGAAATAAGGGAGAAACACCAGGAACTCAGTGTCTTTCCCTGCCATTAATGCTTGGATAACACACCACGTCTCCTTCCATTAATAATAATAATAATGTCTAGTGCGGTGCATGGCTGTGAAATAGGTTATAAACTTGACTTGACTTATCGCGAGAGGAAAAAAAAAAGACGTTTTAGTCGCATAACATCGGTTAATGGAAACACCATCATTTCGCAATAGTTTTTTTATCGACATTTGGAAAATATCGCTAAAGTTTTGCGCAAATCTGTAATGGAAACGCGCCTACTGAACATGGGCTGGCATATGCAAATGTTTGGAGTCATACATATTAATGATCCCGACTGTTGCGTCAGAGTCGGTATTATGTGGAGATTCGCCTGTTTTTCAGGGGTGTTTTTCAAAATCGAGATTTAAGTAAGAAGGAGAAAACAATGGTGTTTGAAACTCACTGTATGTCATGTCCATGTACTGAACTCTTGTTATTTAACTATGTCAAAATAAATTCAATTTCACATTCTAGGTCACCTTTAAGTTTTTCAATGCAAACTACACATCATCATCAAAAACATCTTTAACATATTCCAAATTACAGTAGATTTACAGTCTATTTAGAATAAATACAACCCGAATTCCGGAAAAGTTGGGACATTTTTTTAAATTTGAATAAAATTAAAACTATACGACTTTCAAATCACATGAGCAAATATTTTATTCACAATAGAACATAGATAATATAACAAATGTTTAAACTGAGAAATTTTACACTTTAATCCACTAAATGAGCTCATTTCAAATTTGATGCCTGCTACAGGTCTCAAAATAGTTGGGACGGGGGCAACAAATGGTTGAAAAAGCAATAAATTTAGAAAGGATTCAGGTGGGAGAACATCTATAGCAACTAAGTAAGTTAATTGATATCAGGTCTGTAACATGATTAGCTATAAAAGGGATGTCTTAGAGAGGTAGTCTCTCAGAAGTAAAGATGGGCAGAGGCTCTCCAATCTGTGAAAGAGTGCGTAAAAAGATTGTGGAACACTTTAAAAACAATGTTCCTCAACGTCAAATTGCAAAGGCTCTGCAAATCTCATCATCTACAGTGCACAACATCATCAAAAGATTCAGAGAAACTGGAGAAATCTCTGTGCGTAAGGGACAAGGGCGAAGACCTTTATTGGATGCCCGTGGTCTTCGGGCCCTCAGACGACACTGCATCACTCATCGGCATGATTGTGTGAATGACATTACTAAATGGGCCCAGGAATACTTTCAGAAACCACTGTCGGTAAACACAATCCGCCGTGCCATCTCCAGATGCCAACTAAAGCTCTATCATGCAAAAAGGAAGCCATATGTGAACATGGTCCAGAAGCGCCGTCGTGTCCTGTGGGCCAAGGCTCATTTAAAATGGACTATTTCAAAGTGGAAAAGTATTCTGTGGTCAGACAAGTCCAAATTTGACATTCTTGTTGGAAATCACGGACGCCGTGTCCTCCGGACAAAAGAAGAGGGAGACCTTCCATCGTGTGTAACAGCGTTCAGTTCAAAAGCCAGCATCTCTGATGGTATGGGGGTGCATAAGTGCATACGGTATGGGCAGCTTGCATGTTTTGGAAGGCACTATGAATGCTGAAAGCTATATAAAGGTTTTAGAGCAACATATGCTCCCCTCCAGACAACGTCTATTTCAGGGAAGGCCTTGTGTTTTTCAACAGGACAATGCAAAACCACATACTGCAGCTATTACAACAGCATGGCTTCGTCGTAGAAGAGTCCGGGTTCTGAATTGGCCTGCCTGCAGTCCAGATCTTTCACCTATAGAGAATATTTGGCGCATCATTAAACGAAAAATGCGTCAAAGGCGACCACGAACACTTCAGCAGCTGGAAACCTATATAAGGCAAGAATGGGACCAAATTCCAACACCAAAACTCCAGACACTCATAAACTCGATGCCCAGACGTCTTCATACTGTTTTGAAAAGAAGAGGAGATGTTACACCATGGTAAACGTGCCCCCGTCCCAACTATTTTGAGACCTGTAGCAGGCATCAAATTTGAAATGAGCTCATTTAGTGGATAAAAGTGTACAATTTCTCCGTTTAAACATTTGTTATGTTATCTATGTTCTATTGTGAATAAAATATTGGCTCATGTGATTTGAAAGTCGTATAGTTTTCATTTTATTCAAATTTAAAAAACGTCCCAACTTTTCCGGAATTCGGGTTGTAGACACAAAGAGAGGGAACCAGGATTTAGGTATATGCGAGGAATGTGGCCTTCAACTTCAAGAAAAGCCAACAGGAAGATTTTTTTTTGTTCACTTTCCTATCAAATGACTGAGATAACAAAATACTGAGATAACAATGAAGCTATTCAAGGCCACATCTTTCCTCTCTGTGTGGACCTAAAAAAAAAAAAAAAAAACTTGAGAGAAGCTCTGACTTGACACTGAGATGGAGGACAGACATATCTTTCATGAACAAAAATACTAGTCATAGACCTGAGGATGTGAAAAGATGAAAGGAAAAGTGTTATTAGACTCAGATTAATCAGGGTTAGAAATTGTATCATTATTTACTCACCCTAATGTTAAAAACTTAGATGACATTTTTTCCGCAGTGGGAAAAACAATATATATTTGGATAAAATATTGTGTTCCACACAATAAAAGAACATTATGCAGGTTTGGAATAACATGGACTCTCATTTTTGGGTGAACTATCCCTTTAATGTTAATCAAATAACAAAAGAAGTGAAAACTGTATATTTATCTATTTATGTTTTTTTATACATGTGACAAATGAATTCAATTTCTGTAGTATTTTTTTTTTATTTCTGACAAATAATTATTTCTTTATTTCTAACTGAAAAACACTAAGCACCATTTCATTTTGATATTTATTTCATTATATCCTTTCGCTGAATTAGTTTTTGCTGTGATATCAAAGTTGGTGTTGAGGATTATAAAATATTGTGGTATATAGTTATTGTGAAATAAAATGACTCGTATTGTGATATAATAATTTGGTCATATCTCCTACCCCCCTCCTACAAATAGCACAAGCCATATGGATAACATTTTGGTCACTATGAACTGTCAAAAACTGCTGTATCGATAATCACCGTTTTCTATAAAAGAAAGTACTACAGAATTAAGCAATATGTGGGTAAATTAATTTCTTTAGTTTTAGAAAAATTCACCTTGGAATAGGAGCTAAAATCCGAAAATAGTGTAATACGATTTTTTGTACAAAATTAAAGGGGTCATGAACTGGCTTTTTAAATTTTATTATATTGTTGTCTGAGGTGAACTTATGACGTTCGCTTGGTTTTTGCATTCAAAAACATCAAAATGTATAAGTAATAGGCTATTTTCTACCCTAGTTTTGTGCCCAGCTCAGAAACGCTCGGTTTTTATGGGAGTCTCGCACTGAAGACTTGGAAGTAAATGACCACTGCTGTGAGTGGATAACAGTTTTGCATATTATAATGAGTTTCAACTCACCTCGTCAGTGTACAATGTGTACAGTGTACCTCGTCAGGGGAAAATTGTTCTGAAAACGTCCAATGTTGTGGCAACCGGAATGATTCGCCCATACCCAGAGTCCGTGTGTTGCACCATTCTTGTCAGATCCAATATAGACGGCACAGCACCGTTCTTTACTCCTAATCGGTCTGCAAATCCAGTCTTGTTTACGAAACAATCCTCATTGAAATGAAGCAAACAGATATTTTTACCTCATCAAATGGAAGGTCATGAAAATAAGTTTTGCAGTCCTATTGGAATCCAGAGGAAGCTTACACAGCGACTGTCTTCCACAACCAGGCACTGCACAATATTTTGTATTGCTCGGTAGCTAGATCCGGTTTGTCATCACGAGGTAGGCATCTATCTTTAGCTATGCGTGTAATGCGCAAATCGGTAGGCGGGGCTAAACCGGCCGTGTTGAAGTAGGAGTTGATCTTCTTCTGCGGGGGTGGTGTTTTAACCTCTTTGACATCAGTTCCCCACTTTTAAAAACGAGTCGTTTGCTGAGCCTGGTGTCAATAAAAGCTTTTATTGGACTAACAAGGACGTTTTCAGTTCTGAAACTTACAGGATATTCTTATGATGACCTCTTAGATGTCAAAAGCTCAATGAAAATTTGATTTCTCAGTTCATCACCCCTTCACACAGCATTCCGGTGATATAATCATACAATGCATATCCTCCTGAGAAGTTGGACATTCTACCACACGGTGCAAATATTCCGACTGAAATTGGTTTTGATACTTGTGAATAGACTGAGGAAGAGCTGCTGATATTTGGAGGAAATAACATATAAAGATAAATAAATGAGGGGAGGGAGAGAGAGAGAAAGATCAGTACCTTCCAGCACGGCCCTTCCTCTGTTTGGCGTTGGCTAAGCTCACCCACTCCGCTGTCATGGTCCTGATATTGTTCTGGGTGTCGAAATGTGTTTCCTTAATCTTCCCTCCATCGATCACATACACAACATCATCTATCGTAATACTAAAAGAGAGTTTGAAAGAGAAATATCACAAGGTATTCATGATGACAAGGAAGTACAGGAAAAAAAAAACTCCTATAAAGTCAAAATTGGCTAAATTTATAGTCTTAATAAATGTCCATGGTCATGATTAATTACGTCACATATTCTTAGGGGAAAAAACCTTTCCTGACGTCTGAAACTTTTCTGCCTTTTAACAAAGGCCAATACTATCATGTGGTAAAATTTCCTTCCCTCCCACAAGAATCCAAATAAATGCCGATGGAAAAAATCAAGTCCGGTCTCACATTATTTCTCACTGAATATTCCGTTTCACTAAGAAATGTGTCTCTTACAGTAACCATGAAATCAAAATTGTTATTTCTTTTTTTTATGGAATACTGCAGTGTTTATTATAAATTTATAATAAACACTGCAGTATTCCATTAAAAAAATATTTGTTTTATCATTATCATTTATGTTTAAATAATTTATGATTTATCCAGGCACATAATTATTATTATGTTTATTCATGTGTAAATGATTTTCATTACACGAGAATAGATGTTAAAACTTCATGCTGATTTGTACTCGGCTTTCGCCAAGATAAGCAAAACTAAGATGTGGCTTTACAGTAAACTATGCTTCTCCATCCATTTACGCTTCTTTCCATATGGTGGTGTGACTCCCCTTCTGTCCAGCTTTAACGGCTGCAGTGTATTTGGTGCGTCAGTACACGTGACGGCTGCAACTACAGGACCAGCACGACAACCGTCTGGATTAAGCCGAGTACGGAACATCTCTAGGGTCTTCAAGTGGGCACCTTTCGTCCTCAGTGTTTCGTCGACTAGCCCACGACACCTGAAGAGGGCTTGACAGGGACCCTGGCGTCCCAGAGTCACCCCCCCTCTGTCCCCCACTCAGCTCAGCCCAGCTTACGGACGTCTACATCCCTCCTGCTGCTGAGACCTAATCACAATCTCTCCGCAACCCAACCACATCCGCCAACCCGTTTGACTACGGCTGTCGAGCCCCACTGGTGCATTATGCTGCGTTCATGTGCTATGGTAATTATGGAAAATACCAAAAGCCGACGTGGAAAATGCACAAGAACACCCCCCCATGTGGTATTTTCCACTGGGCAATAGGGCTGGGTATCGATTCACATTTCAATTTCGATTCGATTTCGATTCACAAGATCTCAGTTCGATTCGATTTCGATTCTCGATTCAATTTTCGATTCCGATTCTGGATTCCTGATTTGATTCTCGATTCGACTATAATGAAGATGTAATACAAATCCTATATTTATAAAAAAGAACAGTGGACATAAGTTTACTAGTGGTTAATTAATACAAAGAAATTAAGAGCCATAAACCTGTATATAAAACTCTTTTTATTTTAGGTACACTAAATGCATACAAAGAATAAACAGGATTTTGATGCAATGTGCAAAAAAAGTCAGAACAGTCGCACAGCTTGATCAAACAGTATCATGTTATTTTATGTTTAAGATAGATATAGATAAATAAATATATAAATATTTAGACATTTTTTACATTGATCTTACCTAAATGGTAATGTAATTTTTTTGTTTATTTTTGTTTTAAGAGTTTATGTATGGAAGCTTGATTTCAATCTTTGAATTAAATTGAAAAAAGTAGCACAAATAAATACATAAGAATAAAGACACAAATTAAGAGACATTTTGGGGTAGTTTTTTGGGTATGTAAGAAATACTACAGAAACTGAATAAAGTAATCCAATGTAAAATAACACTGGAAAGTCTTTTTAGTCCAGACTGAATTAAATACAAAGGCTTTTAATTCTGATTGCTTACAATTAATACTATATTCTGTTGTTATGACAACAGAATTAATGACTGACACAAATGGCTGCGTTCACTTTAAGAACTAGTGCGCGAATCCATACTGTTTCATTAACTTTCTGTCACACGCGTTTAATGCTAATTTAAGACATTACCGACTGTCTTTACGAGGTTACTCACCAAGACCAGAGTTTTGACATAATGTCGCGTGTTTTAACTGTTAAAGTGATATAATCCAGGGATAAAACGTTTGTTTCTGGCGAGCTGTTTGTGAGGCAGATTTAGGCTGTACTGTGCACGCAGTGAAAGACATCTCTGAGAGTCCGCGAGCATGGGATGGTTTAACATTGCTTGTAAAACACAAAAAGACGTGAAAATGATAAACGTTAGTTACGATCATAGGTTACGATGCAATGCTGGCCCGATTGTTAAGTGAATATTCCGTCATGTCATAAACCCAATTTAGTATTTATTGTAATTCCAGCATGTATACATAGAATAGCACTTTACTGTATATGTGTAATTTGTCTGAAAACAGTGGTGTCTTTTGTAATTGTTACTGAATTTTAAGGTGTTCTTCAAACTGTGTAGTATTCAATTTAAACTTAAATGTTAGTTTTGTTATATGTTGTTTTGTGATGACCTGACAGGGGACTGCAGATGGAAAGTAGCCCTGGGGCTAATTCTGGCATATTTACATTACTGAAATGTTTATCAATATGCATTGTCCCTTTTAAATAAATAAATAAATAAATAAAAAAAATAAAAATAAATAAATTAGTGCAGAGAGACGAGAAGATGCAGCACCGCGTCCGCGAGCCCTTTATATGGAAAAAATCGATTCGTGGCCGTTGAGAATCGATTTTGAATCGACCACATTTTAAAAAACGATTAATCGAAAAATCGATTTTTTTGCCCAGCCCTACTGGGCAACTCGTAGAATATTTTGATGGACGAGTTGCCGAGATATATAAAATATATATACTATTCATGATCTAGAAAATATACAGCATATTATTTACCTTTTGAGTTTTGATAAATCATTTTCTTGTTGTTGCAGATGACTTAAGCAATCTAAAATAGTTTTAGCTAAATAACAGGTCTGGATCTCCATCTTTTTACCACATTACGACAACAAAAGCACTTGAACGCAACACACTGGTAAATACCAGTTCACAAGTGGAAAATATCCTATTTTCCATAGCACGTGAACGCAGCATCAAAGCAGTTTCAGTGGCAACGGTTCCGTATGGCATACCATCTACCGCAAAAAACAATATTTGCCCAACCACCCATCATTCACGCACTATCCACAGGAACGTATACAAATAAACAGACTCTTCAAGTTTTCAAGAATTCTACGAAACCGTAGCGTGATGGCCTGTACACAGCCAGCTAGAATCTTTCCGTCTCAACCACAGCCAACTGCTGCTCCTTTCTGCTGCTTCAGATAAGTTCTTTACTGTGTAACTCTTGGCCGCTTGCACCATTCTTGTCAGATCCAATATAGACGGCACAGCACCGTTCTTTACTCCTAATCGGTCTGCAAATCCAGTCTTGTTTACGAAACAATCCTCATTGAAATGAAGCAAACAGATATTTTTACCTCATCAAATGGAAGGTCATGAAAAAAAGTTTTGCAGTCCTATTGGAATCCAGAGGAAGCTTACACAGCGACTGTCTTCCACAACCAGGCACTGCACAATATTTTGTATTGCTCGGTAAGTGCTGAATCCGACGTCTCTGAGGAACTGGGTTGTAGAGTGTGCCACAAAACCTCGACAACCCACTTCCACTGGATAAACTTTGACTCTCCATCGTCGCTGTTCTGATTCATATGCCAGATGAGCATACCACAGTTTCTTCCTCTCATATGCCTCATCACTGTTAACTCTATCAGTTGAACAATGCGTGCTGATCCAGACCACAAAACAATATCTGGTCGTAGGGTTAGTGGTGGCAATCTCAGGTGGAAAAATAAGCTGTTGATCAAGATCAGCCAGCATCTTCAAGTCCCTAGCAGCTTCCAGTTGTCCTGGGCGAGAATTGGTGTTAACACCTTTTCTTGGTGGTTGCTCGCCTGGACGGAGGAATATTGTCTTCTGTGTGTAAAGTTTTGCTATACAAGGCGGCAACTTATTGGTCATACTACGCTTGCCTTCCAATGCTTAAACCAAACATCGCAGCACTTGGTCATGATGCCAAGTGACCCGACCTTGGCTAAGAGCCACCTTACATCCTGTCAAAATGTGCCTTAATGTGGCAGGTGATAAAAACAAAGTACAAGAGGGATCCTCTCCTACCCAGAGGTTTAGGTTCTGCATTGATGGGAGAACATCATATGTTGACCTAATAAGGAAACTGATCCTACTCTCTTCCATTGACCAAAGGTCTTGCCAGCCCATCTCATGCTTGGCCAGGGAAATGACCTTTATACACCTCATCCTCTCCTCTTGCTTTCGCACTTCGTTGACTACCAGCTTTCTCCATTTAGGAGGAGCTAAACTGAGCCCAAAACCACCTCTTCCTTGCTGTACCGGTCCCACTATATCCCCAATTTGAAGGGCAGTCTTTGCCTCTACTACAGATTTCTTTGCTGACCACTTTCTACCAGTTAACAACACAGGGGCTGCCTACCTTACACATTTGCCGCATGACTCTACTAAGGCCATTTCCAGTCTGACCGTGGCACACTTAAACTCCTCGGTTAAAGCAGAGACTGGCAGCTGCAATATTCCTTTACTATAAAGTCCCACTCTGCTGAGGCAGTGTAGAACTCCCAACCATTTCCTGATGTATGAACTTTTCAACGCTTCCAGCTTATCCACTGTTGTTAAAAAAAACGTTGAACACGGTCAGTGGCCACAGCAACCTCGGCAGCAGACCAAACTGAAAGCACCAGAGTTTTAGTTTGCCAGGTAGAGCACAGCTGTTTGTGTCCTTTAGATCCCCATCGTCCCATAAGCCAAGCGCTCTCCTCCAACTACCCATCTTGATGCCCTAATGATTACTTCCATTGCCATGGAAAAAGTCAGTGGAGAAATGGTGCATCCTAGCATTATTCCAACCTCTAAGCATTGCCATGCAGTGCTGAATTTTGGAGTTGAGAAACTCCAAAATAGGCTTTCACTAAATTTGTTATTGACATTGGTACTCTGAAAAAATCAAATGCTGCCCAAAGAAGCTCATGTGGCA